ATAACAGGGCCCCAAGAGGCTCTGAGGCAATGCAGATGGTAGACAGTTGCAGGGCAGGGATTTCCTTTGCAGTGCACCCACCTCGGGGGAGGAAAAGGCAAAACACTAAAAGGCACGGGTGCAGAGCAGTAGATCACACAATAGCAGAGTTGGAAGGGGCCAAGAAGGCCACAGGGTCCAAACCCCTGCAGGTGCAGGACACCACGTTACACCATCCCACTCAGGGGGCTGCCCAGTTTCTCCCTGAATGTCGCCAGTGTGGCAGAGCCCACCAGCTCTCCAGGCAGCTGGTTCCACTGCTGTATTGCTCTGACAGTGAGGAAGCTCTTCCTGATGTCCAGCCTGAATCTGGGCTGTTGCAACTTGAACTGATTATTCTGTGTCCTACACTCTGGCATTAGCAAGGAGAGCTCCTGACCTTCCTCTTTGTGACAGCCTTTGAGGTACTTCTAGAGGGATATTCTGTCCCCCCTCAATATTCTCTTCTTAAGGCTGAACATGCCCAGTTCTCTCCGTCTCTCCTCACAGGGCAGTGTCTCCAAACCCTGGGTCATTTTTGTTGCCCTTCTCTCCACCCTTTCTAATTTTTCTGCATCTTTCTTAAATCTTGGTGCCCAGAACTGGACACAGCATTCCAGGTGAGATCTGCCTAGTGAGGAGTGTAGAGGAAGTGCTACTTCTCGTGATTTGGAAGTAGTGCTTCTGTTAATGCATTTCAAAATAGCATTTGCCCTTTTGGTGGCTGCAAAGTAGCATTTGCCCTTTCGGCAAGTTTCAGACCCAACTTATGCCTTGGACACCATAATTAACCACAAGGCAGTGATTCTGCTCACAACGGTTCTTCACACTGCCAAAAGTGGTCATAGGCCAAGCCAGGCCGCTCTCCCCGGGTCTTGTGGGACCATCTGCTCCAAGAAATAGCAAGTTACTGCAGCATGAAATCCTAGTGGTTAGAGTTGAGACTAGAACTGGACCGAGACCCAGGAGATTCAGTTTTTAGTCCCACCTCAACCATGATGCTCTTTTGGTGACTTTGGACTAGTCATTGACTCTCAGCCTAACCTACCTCACAGGGTTGTTGTGAGGATAAGATGGAGAGGAGGAGCAAGAGGATTCTGTGAGTTACTTTGGGTTACTTTACGGAAAAAAATGGGATATAGAAATAATGAATAGAATGAATACTGCAACAACCCTGTCTTACCTTTGGCTCTTTTAGTGAGGAATGGGAGAGACCTCCCCCTCCCCAGGCTCCCATCCGTTGCAGTGGCATTCTGGGCTTGAACAGCCTAAAGGTTCTTAAAGCAGATGCCAACCTGAACCGTGACCACATCCTTCATGTGCTTTTTGGAATAGCTGGAATAAGAGAAGAGTCTGATCCATGGGACAAAGGAGAGCCTTCTGCCTGCGGTTGAGGCAGAGAAGAATGGATTGGAGCATCAAAGCATTTCTGTTGGATGCACAGAGATGCCGGAACGGGGCACAGGGTCTTCCTGGAAGCAGCCACGTTGCTGCAGCCTGAGATCAAAGTCACAGCATCCCTGAAAGGACGGCTGGAGCGTCGTCCTTGTTCTTTTTCCAACCCTGATGCAGGAGACCCAAGAGAAAACGCAAGGTGGCGTTGGCTAATTGAAACGTATCGCGGTGGCAGAACGAGGCACGGTTAGGCACGTCGCCGGCACATCAAACTTTTCCACATCGGTTTTGAAATGTGCCTTTCATGTTGTCTTCCCTCCCTTCAGGACCTGGGAGAGCTGCAAAAAGTCAGTCGAGGGACATTAATGTGCTCAGGTGTTCTAATGCTTTAAAAGAGAAGAAGCAGAGAGGCCTAAATTATTTCTCTTTGCGCAAATGTGTAGCCTTGAGGCTCAGCCTGTACATTGGTTTCTCCCTTCCGAGACTCAATTTGTTCCCTTGTGAGTAAAGCCCAAATATTTGGATGATGTAGAGGCCAGCAGGACAATGTCTTAGCTTCAGGTGACCCGTCATCCATGACAAGAGCTTCCTGCTTCTCTGCTCCTCCTCAGCTGCACAGATGTGGGCTGCATGGAGTTCAACACTCCCTTTAAGACCATGACTCAGTCTCGTCCTTCCTCTACTTTTCCTGGCTAATGCGAAAAGATTATGTTTTCCAGCTACACCAGATTCAGCGGGGGTTTATATTAACGTGGAGGGATAAACTGTGCTGTGGATCAGAACTTTAAAAAGTATCTGCAAATGCAGTGGACATTGACCAAGTGAGATTTGCAATGCTTTTTCACCACCTCCTGTTAAGTGAAGTCATCTGTTTTGGAAGCAGTAGATTTACTTTCCCTGAAGAAAGGATTATGTTTTATTATTTTTTGGCCTCTTTGGGATTGCATTCAAAGGAGGTGAGAACAGCACAAGGTCCTACATGTATTAGAAAACACACCTCATCAGTCCCAGCCTTGCTTTATTCCCCATTCATGGATGTGAGATTATTTGGAACTGAGTAGGGACTTATTGGTGTAAAATTCCTCCTTTGGGATATCAGCCAACTTCTTCTGTGCTTCCTTTCCAACTCTGACAGAAAAGCTGTTTTTCCTGGGTACAAAATTCCTCGTGTGGTTTCTGCTTTAGCTCATTTTATTTTTGATATGATATTCTATACCAGGCCGGCTAGTAATTTTAGTGCCTAAGGCTGAAAAGCCAAAGATGCAGCCAGAGGGAGAAAGAAAGAGCATGAGAGCATCATTTATCAGAACTGTCTCCTATATAAACATGTGGAACTGCTTCCAAAATGATTGCACTGGCATCTGCAAAAGGAAGCTTCTTCCAAAAATGGTGTCCCTGGGGACGGATCCGGCTGTCCCCTATCATGTCATTCTAAGGAGTGCTGCAATGTATCCACTGTTTCATCTTCCCTCAGGATACGATTTGATAGGACTCTATTTTTATATGATTTATGGCAGGTTATAAACTTTTGTCCAACAATAGCTACTTCCGAAGTTCTAAACTTCTTAAAAACTCCTACAACTTCCAACCTTCCCCTGCCAGCACTTGTGGGACGTTTTCCCACCCCTGCATGCCTCAGGTCGCCGTCCAGCTCCCTTTAAATACGCCTATCCCATGAATGATGTTCCTCTCAGCTGGAAGGAGAGTGTCCTGTTGGGCAGACGACTGCCTCTGCATGACTAGCTGTCCAGGTCAAATCCAGGGGAACGGTTAAAAAAGGGGGAAAGAAAAAACCTAAGCAGGGAAAACTGTTAGTGGCTGGATATTGCAGACAATTTATTTATTTATTTATTTATTTATTTATTTATTTATATTTATTTATTTATTTATTTATTTATTTATTTATATTTATTTAAAGCTTTTCTATCCCACCCCCTACAGAATGTCTCGGGATTTAAAATAGTGTTGAGATACGTTCTGTTTCTATTCTGTTCCAATACAGTTAAATCATAGCTATGATTTATCTATGCAGGTTCGCATATGCATATTTTAGGCAAATCTGTGTACCACTCTTTTATAATGTGTTTTCACTCTCCTAGCCGTGTGGAACACTTATCCATGTTCCCATTTTATTTTATTATTTTTAAGTAAAGGCAACTTTTTAATCCGTGTTCCCATTTTGTTTTACTTTACTTCGAAGTAAAGTATTGGCACAGAGACAGTCTTATTCTGCAACAGAGAGAAGCGAAGTGCTTCTGATGGAAGAAAGGTGGACAGGGAAAGGTGGGAATTGAAGTCTGATGGCGCAGCATGGTTCTTTAAAGCAGACGTGCACGGCCTCCTTTGGCCAAAGGGCTGGGTTCGATTTAGTGGAAGATACCTGTGGCTAGAGGAGATCAACCCTGACTGCATTTTAGAAGGCCAGATGCTGAAGGTGAAACTCAAATACTTTGGCTACCTAATGAGAAGGAAGGACTCCCTGGAGAAGAGCCTGATGCTGGGAACAATAGATGGCAAAAGGAGAAGGGGACGGCAGAGGATGAGGTGGCTGGATGGAGTCACTGGGGTGGTGGGTGTGGGCTTGGGTGGACTCCGGGGGATGGTGGGGGACAGGAGGACCTGAAGGAATGTTGTCCGTGGGGTCGTGATGGGTCGGACACGACTTCGTGACTAACAACAACAACCACCACCTGTGGCCAGCGGTAGAAGCAAGAGGAGTGAGACTGACATATTTTAGCAGATGTCTGCATGGCTTACCAAACACTCTTACTGCTGGTAGCTAATCCTTAGGAAAAGGACTGCCACCTTTTGCGAGGAGGAAAAAATAAACCATAACAAAGCCAGGGCTGTGCAGTCAGGAAAAAGACATGGGACCAGGGGAAGAGGCAACGTCCCTCTGAGCATCACTAGAGTCCTCCCTTCGTCTGAGGTGGAACACCCCTGCTTTCAGGCATGGGCCTATTTGGGGTGGGATGCAGTCCATCCTATCCGGACACCCATTCAGGCAATAAAATCTAACAGCGTCTGGGCTGCAAAGAAGCTGCACGGTTTTTCATTTTGACCGTCTGCAAGATCATCGCAGGCAGATTGCTTTACTCATCAAATGTCTTGCCAGATGGTTTGCATGCCTTTCTCAGGGTGCTGTATATTTCAAATCAAAAGCCCACTTGTCCTGGGGGTGCGGGGAGAAATAACACCCAGTGGAAAATGTCGCGGGAGGGCTGCCCACGTGCCACTACTCTGCTTCGGAGAAAGGCGTGTGATTGTGAAGAATTCCCCATACTTCTTGAAATGGCCTTTTCTTTTGCGAGCTTCCAACGGGATTGTGTGACTTCGGCTCGCTGCCTTCTGTGCGCTCAGCTTGCTGAGAATAGCTGTCGGAGAATCACGTCATGACAAATTCTCATTGTCGTTTGTTCCTGGCCATAGCATGGCATTTTGTTGACGGTGGAACTTATTCGCTCTGGAAGGGTTAGTGGTGCTGTATTTACCCATCTCTTGCTTTTTGGCGGTCACATACGGCCTTATTTCAAAACTGTTCTCCTGATGATGCTCACCCTTCCTCTCCCACCCCTCTTGTTTTGTAGTAACGGCACAGCTAGCAAAATGAATGGCGCACTGGACCACTCAGACCAACCAGACCCGGATGCCATTAAGATGTTTGTTGGACAGATTCCCCGTTCGTGGTCAGAAAAAGAGCTAAAAGAACTTTTTGAGCCTTATGGAGCTGTCTACCAGATCAACGTTCTCCGAGATCGGAGTCAGAACCCTCCCCAAAGCAAAGGTATGGGGTTTGCCAGGATGGGGAGGGAGCGTTTTCTGCAGTGAAACCTTGCCGTGTTTCATCTGGATGCTTTTTTGCCATTTGGAATCGAGCAGCGGGGTTTGGCGGAAGTCTGGAGTTGCTAATAGGTAGTTTTCAGGTTTTGGCCATTTAATCCAGTTCTGGCGGGGCTGAGGGCTGGAGTGTGCAAACGAGTACATGCAGAGGCTTCTTACAGAGACGATGGATGGGCCTATGGAACATTGACCAATAACACGTTTATTTTGGGTTAGGGTTTTGTTTTTTAATATGCAAGCACTTGCTGAACCAGGCTGTTCTCTCTGCAAGGACGCCGGCTATCCTGCTGAAGTGGTAATTATTAACCAAATGGCAGGAAACCCTTCAGGGTCGCAATTCCATGGTCAGTGTGTGAAAAATTGGCCTTTCCCTTGTCTTCTTCAGGTGATTTCTCATGTTATGCAGCTGGAAGCTCGGCTTCGTAAGCTCATTAGAGAATTGTATCATCCAAGCCTTTGAACAAGCGTAACTACACATGTTCCCAAACACCCGTTTTGCAAGATTCGGGTTTTACAGTTTGCCAGATAGGATACACTTAAGAAATAAATTAAATTAAATTAAATTAAAATAGGTGTACTCTACATGCATGTAATGTAGTCTCTTGCAGTGCATGGTACTCCAGAGGAGCCAGACTACAACTCCCATCATCCCCAGCAGCCGAAGGGATAGTGCAGCATATCTGGAGAGCATCAGGTTCCGGAAGCTGGTGCGATGTGAGATCAGCTTGCTCCTTAGTAGTGAGGGCAGCCGTTAGCCCAGCTGCCCAGGAACTGTGAGGGTGCCCAAGGCTGCAGGGATGGCAGGTGAAGTTTTCCTTTGCATCGCTCCCCCTTCCCATCTCAGATCTCTTCAGCCCTGAGTTTTCTCCCACTGGCAGCACGAGCGAGCACGGCAGCAGCTTATCAACATCTCTTCCTTCTTCCCGGCGTTCATATCGCCGGCAAATGAAGTGAGTCCCCATCACTGTGTTCACAATTAGTAAGCATTTACATCATGCATTCGACATATGATACTTCAGTTCATTTTAGAAGAAGCTGGTCATATAGACCAGACTTGTACTTTCCATATTACCAGCTGAGAGAGCAGTGAGTGATCTTAGCTTAATTAGTCTGCAATCCTATAAATACACTTTCCTGGGAATATATTTATTGGTTGGTTGGTTGGTTTAATTTCTGCACTGCCCAATAGCTGAAGCTCTCTGAGCTGTGAACAACAGTCATTTTATTTTATTCTATAAAATACAGTATAGAATGAAGCAATATCGAATAAACAGTATGCAAATTGAATAACACAACAGTAAAATACAATGTAGAATAAATAAATACAACATCATAAAATTACACTAAGGTAGATTTAAAACCACGTTTTTAAAACTAACCAGTGAAACCAGTCTGCAGAAAAATGGTTTATCAATGCCTCCTCCCCCGTGTGGTACTTGGAGCTGGTGAAAAGATGGCAAGTTCTGAGCGGTCATTGCATAATTTGGGGGCTACCACAGAGAAGGCCCTCTTCCTTGTTGCCACCAATGTACCCCCTTGGAGGTGGCTTTTGATGGAAGGCCTCAGATATTGAGCATAGTGGTTGGAAGAGACCTTCCCCAGCTGTGGTAGTGCTGAAAGGGCAGTGTGGTGTAGTGGTTAAGAGCATGGAACTGGGACTCAGACGATCTGGCTTCTAGTCCCCGCTCAGCCATGGAGCCAACCGGGTGACTTTGGGCCAGTCACAGACTCTCAGCCCAAACTACCTCACAGGGTTGTTGTGAAGTTACGTAACACACCTTCAGTTCCTTGGCAAGGAAAACAAACAGGACTTAAATATGATACTTAATTAAATCTTGTGAAATATGTGAAACTGAGAGTCAGTGACTGGCCTGAATTTACCCACTGAGTTTCATGACCAAATAGCTGGTTCTTTGGAGTCCCACTCCAACATGGTAACCACAATAACACCTTCACAGCTTCTCCATTTCCTCTTCTTCTTCCTTCCACTAGACATTAGCCTTGTATCGTCCCCACAACATGGCCACTTCTTCTGGGATTATTGTGGGAACAGTCAAAAGCTAATGAAAAATGGTTAAAAGCCAATACAAACGGAACATGAGAAACACAGCTTGTTTTAGGTCGGAAATCTGTGCTAAGCCCAAAGTCTCCCGGGGAGCCGCACGACGGAGTGGGGACCAGAGCTGGCTCACGCGAGTCTCGGCCCAGCCTGCGCAACTCTGGTCTCAGAGACGAGGGATTATGCATTATCAGCTACAGCAGAATTCCAGAAAATAGCCAAGTTTCTGGAATCATTTTCCTCTGATAACCATAAAAACCCTGATGTGTTGTCAGGGTGCTTTTCTGCAAAGCAGAAAGATGCTTGTGACTCATTATCTATTGCATTAGCTGGTTCTTCTCATTGTTGTCAAACTCCAGTTACCCTCCCCCTCCTCCCAAATACTGCAAACATCTAAATTTTAAATGAAGTTGTGTAAAGTTTGCTCCATGGCAGAGTTCATGATCGGACTTCTTGTTGTGTGATTATTACCATCTCAGGATGCTGGGAATAGGCTGTGGTGGAAAAGGGAAAGAGAAAGAGAGTGAGCCCTTCCTTTGGGATTTGAAACAGAAACAGAGTGAGTCAGAAGGGGCCTCCCGAGCCATCTAGTCTGACCCCCGGCTCCAGCCGGCTCCGCTCACGACATGCCCACCATGTGCATGTCCACCCTATCCTTGAACACCCTCACCGATGGGGCCTCAGCGACCTCTCGTGGAACACCCACTGCCGTGGCTGGCTTGGAAAGCAACCCCAGGTCTTGCCATAGCACACCTTTTGCTTAGGGCAGGAATGCTTTGTGGCTTCTTCCAGGAAAATTATGCCAGTGGCCATTGATGGACCCACTGAAGCGAGCCTGGGCAACCTTGGGCGGTCTGGGGACCACTTTCAGTCCTGGGGTGATAACCTGCAGGCTGCCCTTCTTCCAGGGCATCGTGGCGCTTCCCGCAGGCTGTCGCCCTTTCGAATGGCTATCAGAAGCACCCACTGACTCTCTCCCACTGACTCTGTGCGTAAATGGCACACATGCCTGGACTTCAGTGCCAGAAGATTTTGTAACAAAAGAACTAACTTCTCCAAGCCACACCTGCCTTCTTCGCAAAATGCCTTTTCTCTGCACATGCCTCTTTATTTCTCTAATGTGCCTCGAGGGACCCCCTTAAAAAGTCAGGAGCCTGGATTTACTGTCATTCTCGCTGCCATAGACAAGCAAATGCTAAATGCTTTCAGATCAGCCATATGCTAGATGAAGAGGCTGGCTCTGTTTTAAAAAAGCAGGCCGGTGTCCCAACACACAAGACTTCCACACGGATCAGAAAATGGCCTGAGAAATCGCCCTGAGCTACAGCGGGGCAAATTTTGCAGAATCTTCCCACCTCCAAAGAGAGGTCCATGATGAGGGTGGGGGCATACTGGCTCCTGTGGCAACCGGCCCAGCGCCCCATCTCTTTGGATGCTGGCCCAGTGGCCAGTGCAATCAGCAGTTCAGCACAGCAAGGCTCCGGCCTCAGGAACAGAGCTTTCTTCCCCCAGCCACCCACCCACCCAACATGAAGGCATCCTTGGCCTCAGCAATGGTAGGATCGTGCCCGGGCTGATTGGCCAGGATGCTGACGTCATTATGAGATCCGCTTGCAAGGAGCACCATTCCTCATGGGGAAGGCCCTTCTAACCAGATGCCAAACTGGACGGTGAAGCCTGAAAGGCACAACAGAGTCAACATGGAAGTGGCCACGTTGTCTTGGCCATTAATGTTCCCCATTTGCCATTTGGGCTGAACCAGAAGATCTGCTGAGCCAAAGGTCCCAAGACAGCAGGGCAAAGGGGGCTGCCATTTGCGGGCAAAGATTTGGGGTGGGGCTCTTTAGTTGTCTCGCAATAATAACTGAAGGCTTTGAATCCATTTGTTCTACTGTTTGAAAAAGAAGCATTTAAAGGTAAATGCTGCTCTGGGCAGCTAGGCCCGTGGCGGAAGCTACTGTTTTCAGTGAGCTCAGCTTCATGAACTCGGAGTGCTCCAGCCACGTTTGGCTCATATTCTTCCTAGCCGCCCCGAGCAGATTTTCCATGTGAAGCAGCAAAATGGACTAAAACTCGACGGCACATTTGATGACTCGAGGTTTGCTATGTATTCTCATGCTCACATGTGCACACACGAAAAATCACTGTCTTCCCCCTCCCCCATTTGCTAAATCCTGCCTTCTCTTGTTGGAAAAAAAGGAGTCCAACAAAACAGGGAAGGGGGACTTTGATTAGCCCCAAATGCAACCCTCGAGAGCATGCATGGCCGGGAGGAAGGAAAAAGATCACTGGTCCTCATTATCCTACTTTTTTCTTTATCATATTGTGGCTGCCTGTGAGTCATAGCGAGGAATTAAAAAGAAATTCACATCCTGGTTATCTTTGCTGCCATTCCTGAATGCATGAACTTGCTGACTACTCATTTCTTGCAAACCAGTGAATATGCATTGCTACTTTGGTGCATAGTTTGGCTTTGGATAGAGAGATAGAGACAAGCATGTTTCTAGCTCTCATGGTCATGTTCTGAGAAGCCAATTAAAACTTCAGGCAAAGGATCAAGGACTCTTTGTCTCCTTCTCAGTTCCTGGATCCTTTTTCTTTGTTCCTGTTTTAGACTTTTCAGATATCACTGTATGCAATTAAAAGTTAACCCATGGAATTCAATGCCATAGTACATGATGGTGGTTACTAACACATGTGGAATCCAAAAGGCATGGGATATATGCATAGAATCTGCCCCTGTTTGTCACAGATGGCAACTTCACATTTTATTTTATTTCATTGGCTTCACCGTTTACAGGACCCACCCTCCTGTCTTCTCCATGCTCTCTATTCCCTTTCTCTACAGTTCCTCTTACGACCTTGAGATGCAGCTGGCACATTTC